TTTGTCCTACTTTCTCAAGACCGTTTAAAGAAACATACGTTTAGGCTGAAACATTTTTGCATTTGGGGTTTGGCTTCATGTTGAGTGTGGTTTTAAGCAACAGCACATTTTTTTCCTTCCTCAACAAAAAACAAAAAACAAAATGTCTGACGATGTCTTATTGTCTCTCCTTTAAATATGAAGCCATGTGGGATAGAGCAGAGCAGACTGAGACAACCATTAAGAGATTAAAGCATTTATATCTGCAGCGACGTGACTATCTGGAGATCAGCATCTGCACATCACTGCATTAACATGTGGAGTTGTAAAGGAGTGCTTGGTTTATGCAGCACGAGTCCTGGTGTTTTTAAATCCCAAGGCCGTGAGAGGGGGGAAATAAAAACAATCCACAGACAGGATGTGCTGTGAGAAGAAGTGGCTTTACTATCACAAGTGGTTAAATGCATCGTTATCTGGTTTATCTTTGAATCCTGCTTAAAACTGCATCCTGTCAAAAGTGGCAAAAGTTCAGGTTAGGCAGCTTAAAACTGCCTTCATAATGCAAAACTGAGTTAGGAGTTTTAGTTTGAAAGTCAAAATTTCCAGAAAACCTGACATTTTGACTCATGGGTGGAAAAAAGAACAAGAGAAATAAAGGACTTTTTATATATAAATACTTAGCATCTTATAATAATGTCACACTATTAAGAATTATGCAGTATTATAAGTACAGATATATCATTATGACAATGGTTATGATTATTATTAGTAGTGATGCCTTTACACGGTGTAACAGTAACAGATGGATAAACAAATCTGTATTTGGAATACTAAGGAGGACTATGATAACTGTACGGTATCAGCAAGCGCTACCAAATACTTTTGTGTGTTCATTATTTTTATTTTTTGTCCTCCAGTTAATGAGAATTAGGAGGTCTTCATCAATTACTGTGATCTCACCAGGTTAACTCTTTCCTTGCACTTCTTATTCATGGACATAATGGCAAAATTCATATTTTCCACTTTTAAAAATCTAAGAATTCCCATTTGGTGTTTGGAAAGGTTGATGGTGGAACAAATCACTTCACTCTCACAAAAGCAGCCCAATGTGGCACACACATCTCAGATTTTCACACTTCATTTGTGTTATTAATACACAGTCCATCGTTAGGTGGTTGCTAGGCGGATTGTGAAGTAGTCAAATAGTTAACGTCACGATATACTGTGTATATAAAAGGCTTGTTGATATAAGTGCATGTTACAGTCATGCAATTAAAATCATAATATGCTTTTACAAGGTGTTATAGGAGCACGAGCTACAAATGTGTAATTTTGGGAAGCATGATGATGTCATCATATGGGGTGGAAGATGTACCTGTGCGCCAGATCATGTAGGAGGAGTTTACAAGCAGATTTTTGTATCATTGTAAGACCTTTTTTTTTTTTTTTTTTAATGTATTGACTTTTTTGGAGGCACTGACCACAGTGTCTGTCACGTTTTTAAAACCTGGTTTCTTGGTTACTGTTGCAAAGCTTTATCTAGAAAAAGTATGTGTCACAGATGTTTCTGATTACTACTGAAACCCAACACATTATCTACAAATTTGTGTTGACAATTCATGTCCATGAACACAAATAACTATTTCAGATTCTGCGTGGACAGCAGGGTGTTTCATTATAAGCCATAATTGCAGTGTCATTACCTTTCCTGCTCTCACCTGTAGTTTGGGTTTGGTCATCTCGCCGTGCTTCTCTTTTCAGCTCCGTCTCCTCACCCTCCAGCTGCAGCTGACAGCTGCCCCTCCTGATTCTGCCAGAGGTCTCTTCCTGTTCTGGGCAAACATTTCAACTCTGAATAACCATCAGCTTTTCTCAAAGTTTATCTTGGTTGATTTACAGTTCAAAATAAAAGTTGAGCTGATGTCAGACATGTGACCTTACAGCTGGCTCAGTGTCATTTAAACCACTGCCTTGATAAGACTCAAACAAGAATTAATTTATGTTATTATTCTATTGATTTGAGAAAAAAATATTTTAAAATGAGAGAAGAGTAAAAATGCTAAGAAATAAACATAAAAGTCTGACTGAGCTCTAACTCTGATTTCAGTTTCTAATCTCACAACTAAAGGCTCGCTTCACACGTCCATGATGCTGACACTGTTGACAATGAGTAAAGATTGTAAAGAAGCTACACGTATGAGCACACATCAAACAGAATTATCCTTATAGGGGGGAAGAAAACAACACTAAAAGTTCTTGCTGCATTTACCGTCTGATACGATAAGGCTGTAGTTGTGTTTGGATGTTTACCTCTCATTTTCCAGTGTAGTACAGTGTTCTCCTTTAATAACTTCTAACTGCTAGAAAACTAAAAGTTGGATGCTGCCCATCAAACCTAAACTCTTGTACTCGTGCAGCTCATGGAGGAGTCGGGTGGGAGCTTACAGGGCTGAGGAATAACTGCATAACAGGCATGAAAAAATAGTTTAAACAGAAAATACTTGGACATCTTTGCCTTTTTGATCCACTAAGGGAGATCGTGGCTCAAGAGTTGGGAGTTCGCCTTGTAATCGGAAGGTTGCCGGTTCGAGCCCCGGGTTGGACAGTCTCGGTCGTTGTCTCCTTGGGCAAGACACTTCACCCGTTGCCTACTGGTGGTGGTCAGAGTGCCTGGTGGCGCCAGTGTCCGGCAGCCTCGCCTCTGTCAGTGTGCCCCAGGGTGGCTGTGGCTACAATGTAGCTGTCATCACCAGTGTGTGTGAATGGGTGGATGACTGGATGTGTAAAGCGCTTTGGGGTCCTTAGGGACTAGTAAAGTGCTATACAAATATAGGCCATTTACCATTTCTAAATATGTTTCTGAGTCGTTTGTGCTACTGAACATGAATGTATTTCAGTAGTCAGAAGCCAAAGACATCGACTTTATAACAATAACATTGTAAAGCTGTCGTTCATTAAGTATTTAATATATAAAGCTTCTCTTGTTTTGTCAAAACACGAGCTTCTCTAGTGTTTTGACAACACGACAGAAAGCTTTTCAAAAGATTGAAGTGCTACACTCAAGTTAATTATATGACAATATTATGATCATGTAATGGTTTCTTTTCATTGCATAGGTAATCAAATGCATACACCTTCAAGGTGTATGAGAATCATTCGAATACAGTAGAAACTGAAATTCACTCAGCAGACTTTGGTACATTTGTCGCGTGTGTCTGTGCAGGTAAGCTGGAAAGCTCTGTGCCAGAGGAAGAGGAGGAAGGCAGCGCTCAGGACGACTAGTCCAGCAGAGAAACCTCAGCACTGAACAGGCGGCCAAATTTATTTGTGGATATTCTGGACAAACCCCAAGACGGATTCAAACATCCATCTCCATCCAAGTCAAGCACCTACTGTGCATGTCCGGGCTTGTTGGGAAAGCTGACCTGTGTGGAGGTTATAGAAAGCTCAGTTAAGGTTTTAATCACAGTAGGTAAAGAAACGTGTTCAACCAGCATCTCCTTCACTTTAAACAAAAGGGGAACAGCCCAGCTGACAGTCACCTGACCACAACTAACACCCAAGTACATAACAATTAAAATGAGCTCAGATTTAGTTCATAAATAAGGGCAGAAATATGTTTTTTCCTTAAACAGAAGTGATTAAAAAAAGAACCTTAAACTGCCCCAGATTTTTAAATGCTTCTGGTGGGAAACGAAACATTATCATCTCAAGCTTGTCTTAATATATGAAGGAAAATTGTTTATACAATTGTTTGTTTATACATTTTATATCATTTTAAAGTTTTTAAATATCAAGGAGGAAATTAATCTAGGTACATTTAATTCTACCTAATTACATTAACTACAATGGATAGCAACTAGATATAACATGGGATCTAATACACAGTTGGCAAATTTCAAAAATATAGGATAAATGAAAATATAGCAAAAATGTTATCATCCAACTTCTCTTCTACGTGATTAGGAGGATTTTCAAATATGTATTTATACATGTATTATTTTTAATTTGCATACATTTCCCACCAGAAGTTTTCAAAATGTCCACCGTGAGATTGCAGCTTGTAGGCAAAGCATATCTTAAACACACAAAATACTGCAATAAATATTGCAGTATTTTGATCGAAGGTTGCATTGATTGTCGGGTTGACCCTAAAGGTTTATAAGACATTCCTCAAACATTCTGCCATCTAACTGGAAAAGCACAAATATTACTGGCTACACTCAGGTGCAAAGGTCATTGTCCCTCCCCCTTCTTTTTGTGTCTTATTGAACTGCACACCATGTAAAAGTTCTGTGTTGCATTTAATTTTAAAAGTGTTCTTGAGATTTGATTCCTGCAGTTTGTTGCTGCAGGAATCAAATCACTTATTATAGCTTTTCATCATTTTACTCACTGAATGGTTTCAAAAATCTGCATCCAAGCACTGGAAACTGCCACTTTAATTTGCTGCAATTCTGCATCATGATACATTTGTCTACATCTACTTTTGTTTTTCTTCAAATAAACTGGATTTGATGAGGAATTACTAAATGTACCACATATTATTATAATGGATTACTTTGAAGATGAGTTATGTTTTTTCATTACCATGTGCTTTTCTTCTTCTGCGTACGTGATCGGCATCACCGGCACTTATAAATAACTGCAATAACTTGTCAAATTTGACGACATATATGCTACACCCTCAGCCACCAGGAATTTACTGTATACTTTTTGTCTTCATCTTGGATGCCTCCTGGTGGCTTTTCTATGACACAGCAAGGCTACCAAAGTAGTTTTGTTAGGAATGCCATAAAATCTTGAATAATTGAATAAAATAACATGAAGTAACAAAAAGCAACATCTTATTATTGATTTTTTTGAACAGTTGTTTACTTGTAGATCATTGCAGGAGTCCTGAGTAGATTGGTTACCTGCTGCGTAAAGTCTAACTTGTCACCTGACTGTGAATTACCCTTGTGTGTTCATACTTACTGGTTTTTACCTCATTCATCGCAGGTAGTGGCACACACTCAGAGTTCAGGTCTGACACAGCCCTAAAGTTTATTTTATTCATGTCATTTTAAGTTACAAGTTGGAATCAGAAACACAAAAAAAAAAGAGAAGAAAAAAAAAAAGTTATAAAGTAAAACAGCAACCATTCCACATCAAATGGCAGAATGTGTCCACGGAGCTGTCCTTACAACCTCATAATGCAAACTACTGACTCGCCACAGAAGAAACACCTTTTTTTTCTGTGTTCCTGCTACGTTCTGTAAATATGACTTCACTTTGCAGCCACTTGCAGAATAACTCCAGCAGTGGTTAAAAGTCATGAGTAGTATGCAGAATGAACCTTCAGACAGAGCCCTGGGGTTAGTATTACACTAGCAAAGGGCTAACTTAAGGAGAGTAAGGTTTGTGTCTCATTACGTAGCCCCTGCTGTGCTCTGATTGAGGAAGAAAATAAAAATCAGACTGCACTTTGTAAAAGTTGTCCATCTGTCCTTTAAGGTCCCACACAACCGTCGCAAATATGTAAGAGTCATTGGTGGATGCCCCTTCGACCAGAATTTGCAAATCCAGTGAAAGCGGCACTGAGGGTGAATAATAATTGTTTTTTATTCTTATTGCAGCTCCAGTTCATCTTATGTTTTTTTATTAGTGTTAGGTGGTTAAAATGACCTTAGTATTAAAGTTAAACAGTTATATAACTGGACTATAGATGGTCAGCTATCATCAGCTGCTGCTAAGGTGCCTTTGAGTAAGGCGTGCTTCCCCCAGCTGCTTCAGTAGGGCTTCAAAAGAACAACGAAGCTCCTTTCCAGGAGCCACAAGTGGACTCGTTCTGATTAGGGGTTATTTTGTAGTTTTACTCTACCGCAGACAACATGTAGCACCTACTGCAGCGTCAGTCAGGGGAGCTGAGGGGAATACTTGCAAGTGTTTTCTTTTGCTTGATCCCACTGTAAGAGTTTAACAGAGCTGCCGCAGAGCTGGCGTCAAACACTGAAAACGCCCAAAAAAAAACGGCATTTCTCACCACTTGTCAACACTCCAATCCTTCCAAGCCCTGATACACACTTTTCTTTTTTTTAGTGTCAACACATTTGGCAAATCGTCATTGTCGTCGTCATAAAAATAACAAAACATAAACATTAAAAACAGACAGCTTCACATCAAAGTAGAATACAGATATTATATCTTTACCCACAAAATGTTCATGTTACGACTAGCTAGAAAAAAAAGAAAGAAAACATCACCATGTTATACAAGTGTGTGTCCGTCTGAATATGTGTGTGTGTGTGTGTTTGTTTGCTAGGAAATGGTCGAAGATTAGTGTTTGGAACCGTAGATCTGCTCAGGATTGTGTATCTGTACGCGTGTGTAAACTCAGATTAATGAGCAACATGTCTTTCAGTATCAACACAGGAATCCTCACCCCGCATCCATAAAAGAAATATAATAAGAATAATAATAAACCCCACAAAAACATCAGAATCATTTGCATTCTCAAAGTAAGCATCCAAAAATCCATCACCACATAGTAGTTATCAGCTGGCCACTAAAGTTCTCAAAACTTTCATTGCAAAATTAAAAAAACAAAAAAAAACAAAGGAGAAAAAAAATATTTTAGTGTCAACTATATATATATACTATATATTTATACTTTTGTTCTTTATACCAACCAAACATTATGTATTTTTTGTGTTGCTATGGTCGTGGTCCCTGGCAACATCATGGAAACGGTACGATTAAAATAAAGACACTGATCCCCCAACTTCATCCAGCTCGTGTTTCTGTTCATATGTTGTGTTTTTTCCCTCCTCTTTTTAATTTGAGCACTTGTGTTTCATACGCTCTTCTTATATTTTGAGTGGATTTGTTTTCAATGCTACGCGTTTAGTGTTAAATGCCGACAGTGTTGCTTTTTTGTCCGAACACGCTGAGGCTTTGTAGGCATAGATTAGTGTGTTTAGTTTGGATTTAGTGTACTCTGGTAGTGTGTATTTGTTTTGTCTGTACCCCCATTCAATAGCAGACTATAAGGTATGCCTTTGTGTGGTTAGTGTCTGTGTGTGTCTATGCATTAGCGCTGATGCTCTGTTTGTAGACGGCGTGGTAGGCGTTTCGCAACAGGACGTAAGGGAAACAGGACTCCAGCAGGTCCATGGTGAGGAAGGGAGACTCCTGCACAATCTGAAGCAGAAACGAAATGCAGAACAACTCTTAGACGATTGGAAATATACGGTAATACTCAGAAGTAAACTTGAATGTTAAAAATAGTTCTGCACTTCAACTTGAATCCATTTTTTTTTCACATCCTGATATAGCTTTGATAGTTGCTTTTTAGGATGTTTTACTTTTAAAAAAGGAACAAGTGTCGACAGATAAAGTCTCCTGTACGTAGTTTTCTTACCATGTCCAGCAGCAGGTAGACAGATTCTCTGTTACGTGTCGTCATCTTGTCCGTTTCCTGACCGATCTTCAGCAGGCTGGATGAGGCCAGCTACACAGAAACATGTTACAGACTGATGTTAAGAGTCTCTCAAGTCAATCTTCGGTTTTGTTTTCGTATCAGTTTTAACTAAACTTTAGAATTTCTTGACAAAAATTGGGAAATTACACACCATTTCCAAATTTATCAAAGAAAATCTGACTTAACTGCATAATTATTGGAGCTTCAAAGACATGTAAGCACTTCATGACTGCTTGTCTACTCTGTACTTCTTATAACACAGACTGTTGGTAATAATGAGCCACAATACAAAGTTTTCTAGGGATAACAGTTTCCTTCCATAAGCCCTTCAGTTCTCCTTGAAATAGATTCTGTAAGCTGCTGTAACTCGAGGGATGAAACTCATTTGTCTGAAAGATACCTGGTATTTTGATAAGGGTGACGACCAAAAAGCTCACATAGATGTTCAGCTGGACTCAGATCTAAAGACTATGAAGGTCATTGCTTACATCACATAATTTTCATACACATCAAACCATTCAGCGAGTCCATGACCCAAGGTTTGGGACACTGTCATCCTCAAAGAGACCATTCCCTTTAGGATAAAAAGGTTTCATCAAAGGACAGAGCTGATCAGGATAACTTCGAAAGGGGACCCGAATAACGGCTCCAAGCCATATAATAGTCACCGGATACCTCAGTTGTAGGTTTTTCCTTTAATTTGTTACATTGCGTGTTTGATGTTGACATTATGATGAGAGATTGTATATCCCCCTATAAGTTTAAATGAATCTAATTATTCTGCGTATCTTCTACGTCAGAATGCAGACATGATGCCCTAAAGAGCTGCCATCACAGCGCAGTGCTACACTAGAGAAACCCCAGTTATAATGTAAAGTTCTCTAAGAGTAACAGAAATGCAGTGTCTTACAGCCAGGAACTCTTTGAGGCGGTCCTCTATGCTTCCCTTGTGGATGGTGAAGAGAGCAGCAGCGATCTGGTTGATTGCTTTGGCCAGGCAGTGGATGTTGTTACAGTGGCCTGTAGGAGGCAGCAAACACACACGATTAGCTGAAGAAGGAGAGATTATTGACTCGGTTTAATTTCTCACATGTGACTTTCACAGCAGAGGAAATTTCAGGCTTATAAAACATGGATCTGTCAATCCTGGGCTTCATTTCTGTATCGCATGTGACATGGATGACAAGCACATGAATATAAAACGCGCGTGTAATCGTAAGGTTAGAGAACGGTTAGTGTGGCTGGACCGGTGCGACGTGTTAAGACCTGCTCCCGGCAAAACCAATCACTCGTCGGGACACAGTCTGCATACTAACAATGGTGGAGCCCATTACAACTCATTATCCTTTTCAAATGTCCCTTATTAACAATGGCGCCTTTCATTTCAAGGTTGTTAAGTGGCACTGTCTTGATAATTCGCGACCTTGAGTTATAACTCTCTTCGATACCTCATCAAAAGGCCTCATGTATCTGCAGCGATGCCCCTCCGTGGATCTAAATATCAAGTCTGTATAACTGAATGAATCTTTCAGGCAAATAAATAAAAACAAACACGGGTCACATGGGCTAAACAGACATTTAAAACTGATTAATTATTTAAAAAGTACACATAATGAAGATGATAATATGGCTCTAATGAACACACATAAATCAATCTTGGGGCACAAGGTCGACGTCATTTGCATGCAGAAACTGTCTCGCGCGTTGAACGTGGTAAATTTTGTTTCTTACAAAGTGGAATTTCTTTCCCCCAGCAGTGAGTCACAAGACGGGCTTATTATCCCCTTTATTAATGAATATTAGAGCAGGAAATGGAGGGCAAAATGATGGAGAGGAATCAATTCGTATCACAAATATACTTAAGTGCATCATGTATTATAATTTCTGTTCCGTAATCATTTGAGTCACAACAATTACTCCAGAATCTTTCCTCCCATAGAGTCTCAGCCGGCCTCAAACCAAAGTCAAGTCATTAAGCCAAACACTTTTTTAAAAGAACACACCTGGAGTGCAGCAGAATGCATGCATGGCATCTGTAATTTCCAGAAGGTAACTGCTGCTTGTTAGGCTAACAGCAAAAGTGAACATAACAAAGATTTGTAATGTGGGTTAAACAAACAAAGAAACCTAAAGCGGAGATGTCAAACTAATTTTACATCGTGGATCACAAATGCCCCACTCTGATCTTAAGTGGGCTGAACCAGTGAAACTCCCCTTTCTGTTGGTGGAAACGCATTCAACTAAACATTTAATCCCTGACTTATCCTAATATAAGAAAACTGAGTGTTCAGCATTAGAAATGTGGAGATACTGGAAAAACAGAAACTTTTCTCTCACTTAATTATTAATCTATTACATAAGTATTTCATGTAGTGTGAATGGCAGTGGGGAAGATCAATATTTACCAACAGAAAAAGCTGGAAAACTTTTGAAAATACAGATCCAGTGGACCCAACTGGCTTCTGGCCTCCGGGACTCATTATTCCACACCCCTGACCTGAAGGCATCACCGTCATGTTACTGTTTTTAACCCAGTAATCAGATGTACATGTTTTTCCTCTCGACTCTAGTGTCTAGCATGCTTTTCTGTCTCGCCAACCACTACGTCCATGAATCTTCTCAGCGGTCTTTTCTTCTCCTTCCTGTCTGGCAGCTCCATATTCAACTCCACTATTCAAACCATCTCAACCTACCTCTCTAACTTTGTCCTCAAACAGCTCCACTTGTGCCGTCTCTCCGATACACTCATTTCTAGTCATGTCCCTTCTGGTCACTCCCAACCAAACAAATCTGAGCATCTTGAGGGAGGCTGCCAACTCCACCCTGCCCACACTCTTCACCTCTGGCCTGTAGTGTTTTAAAAATCAGTCTACTAGGTGGCACTTCCTTTGTGGTTCTCAAACAACAACAAGAAAAAAAAAAAAGGAAAAGGAAAACATTTTTAAACAATACCAGCCTTTTACACGTTTTCTTTCCACTGCCTACATCCTCCATATAAATGAAGCAAGCAGCGAGCTATCATTACCGCTCAGCTTGAGGGGGGGGATGCCATTAATTTTACATCCTGTCTCGCTATCACTGGCGCACGACAGACTTCTTTCTGCACACAGATACGACTGGCAGATATAGTTTGCAAGGCAGAAAGTAGTCCCTGCATGAAAATGCTCGCTGCAAGGTTGGTGTGTTTATTCCGAGTAACTGGGTCACAATTTGTGGAAAGAGACATTAATGCTGAGTTTTTCCAAATGAACTTTTTGGCACCTTAAATACCAAAATGGGAGAAGCGTTTCTTTCTATTAGAATCAAGAGAAAGCAGACATCTCTGCTAATAATATCTACAGAGCTGGCTGACTCACACCAAAACAGTCTAGATGGAGACACAGCACTGCAGGCCACAGGAAAAATATAGAAATGTGATTTTAGGATGAACCGCCACTTTGAGTCTTTGAAGTTTCGTGCCTTCTCTTTATTGCACTTCATACTGCAAACATAAAATCTGTGTGAGAGAGAGTCACTTTAACTAGATCTTCTTAACAAATCTACAGAGCATGGTGTCCTACCTTCGATGGCTGGGCTGTACTGCGACATCACGTTGCTGGCAAGTGTTGGCAACGAAACTGCCACAAAGACCATCAGCAGACAGGCGATCTTATACTCCTCCTCTGGGCTGATGTTCTCTGCAGACAAACATCGTGATGGTCATACAGATGAATTGCGTGGCTCCTGGATGGTGGTTGTGTGTGACCGTGTTTGCGACTCACCGCTCTTTTGAGAGGACAGAGCCACCACCAGAGCTGGGTCGATCTCACAGGGTAAACCTGCTGCTGAGGACAGCTCGTAAACGTTCATGGCCACCTGGAAACAGACAAAACATCCACATGAACGCAAAGAGCGGGACATCCGGAAGCGCATCTACCTCAACAAGCCCGTCAGTGTGTTTTACCTTCATGTCCGTCTCTCGGGGAATGTGGTCCTTGAAATCCTCCACTGAGCTGACCAGGAAAGGAATGTGACAGGACAAAACCTGGAAAAAGCAAAACCGACACAGACCACTAAGACGGAGAAAGATGGAAGAGGAAATACTCTAAAATATTTATAAGTGTGCTTTTCAGCAGCCACTATCAGGAAATCTCAGACTGAATGAGCAAGGGCCAATAAACGTGTACCTCAACACTTACACTGAATGTCTTAATTTAATGTGTGATTTCAGAGTGCTGCCTGATATTTTTATCCTTTCACTTTTAATAAGCAGCGTTTCCGGAAACCAGCTAAATGTCAGTCTTAGAAGGCTTAGGTCAGTTAATCCAGTTCTGGAACTTGGTCCAACTCCAACTTCTAAATTGCTAAATCCAGAGGACCAAAGAACATGAAAGCTTGTAAGTATAAACCATGATACTTATCATTAAAAAGACAAGAGGGGAGTAGCTGGAATCAGAGCCAGGTTTAATTCATATTTGATGTAACTCAGCTTATAACTCAGCTTTAACCTGACAGGGACATAATGCAAGCTATTGTGATTGTCGATGAGACAGTCTAGTAAGACTGATTTTGGCCATTTACAGTATAAAAGATGATGAGGTTCAATATTAAAATGCCTACAACATCTACTGTACCTTTCTAAATGAAAACATTTTTAAATGACTGTATTTTAATGCCATGAATATGCCCCAAAGCTGAATAAAGAAATGCACATTATTATAGTTTTGTATTTTCTAGTTTTAGTTTTGACTTTTTGTTTTAAATGAAGTTTAGCTTCAGTTAGTTTCCAGAGTGGATTTTCTTATTTCGGTTTAGTTCTTGTTAGTTTCCGTGTTCATCTTAGTCTTTTTAATTATTACTGCATGCTATTACTCTGAATGTCGCAGAGAAAATTAATACAGGTTTTACAATAAAAACTAATTTTTCAAACGCAGCTGACCCACGGTGTGTCACAGTATCGTAAATAGTCAAACTTTCCTTTACATTTTCATTTTATTCTATTCAAGTTCACAAAATTGTTTGAGTTAATTTTTTTTCAGTATTTTTTTCCACATCCAGCTTTAGTTTTAGTTAATTATAATAACCTTGATTGACACAAGTTGCCAGTATTTATCTCCTCAAAGTGGTATATGATTATGTGTGCCTTACGTCTCTCAGAGCCTCCTGAGCAAGCGAGCGGAAGGACAAAATGACCCCAATGATGGTCATTCTCTTCAAAACACTGTCCACAGCTACAAAGACAGAAAACACAGCGAGTGAGTGGAATTACAGCAGCTGTCACAGTGATCAGTGTTAATTCAGGAGTTCACCAGTCACAAAAATAAACTTGCAAGGAGGTGTATCAATTTGTACTTCAAGTGTACTAACTTGAAGTCATTTCTAACCAACCACTTTCAATACGATGGCAAGTTTAACACAGATGTAATCGAATCTCAAACAAGAGACTGACACTGAGACACTGACATGAAACAAGCCAAGGCTGCTGATTGTAAACAGCTAAATATCACACACACAAAAAGTGGCATAAGTACTCCCATCGTGTTTGGATAATCACTTATTGTTTGGCACCATGATGAAACTGCAGCTGCAAAGATCTGTGCCAAGTAAGTGTAAGCACAAGTATTAGCGTTAGTGTTAGTAATTACAGGTGAGTTTCTTGAAGAGCGCAGCCATGTGGTCTGGTTTGTCAAAGCTCGTCCTCATCTGGGTCAACACCTCCATGTTTTCTACCACCAGTTTCTACAGAGAAACGCAAATAAACAAAACATAAATATATGTAAGAACATTTTGTCAAAATTTTTAAAAAAGAAAAAAAAAAGCCTGGTTATGAATGAAACCATGGAAGGCGTCAGACTACACTAAACACTCAACATCAACCAATTTGTTTCCCTATTTTTGGCTCTCTCTGATGTAAGGAAGAAGGGATATCCCCAATTAGGCCAGGCACACTGCTCGGACTTCTCACAAAAGATTACAAATATATGAATCAGTTTTCTGAATATTATATTTTAAAAAAAGAAAGAATCAGAGACGCATCAGGTAAGGAAAAAGAAATCACTCATCTGAATAAAACTCACTGACTAATAATATCACCTGTACAACTTGGTATAACAGTTTATATTATTATTATTCAATATGTGAGTATATCTTTATGATTGTGGACATGTTTATACCTTCAGCTCAGCAACCTGAGATGAGATGTGCCACATTAGGCTCTCACTTAGAAACTTCATACCATATGGGCCCAAGAGCTCTGACAGGGAACGCATCTCTGTGGAAAAAGCAAAAAAATAAACACTTTCAATAAACTTTCAGCAGAAAAAAAACAAGATGGCTAAACTCTAAACTTATATTAATACACAAAACCCCACATTAAAGTTTCTCTTCTATAGCTGATTTATTGTTTGTCGTCATAAATACCAAGTTACTAACATTTTCATGCACAAAGTGTGTTTGTATGAGTAAACAATCTTTTGAGTGATTGTACCCGAGATATCAGAGTATTCTTCAGCATTGAAAGTTAGTTCGTTCTCAGTGGGCAGGTTGACGAAAGCCTTCATGGCGGGGAAGTAGGCGATGTGTCCGTTACTGACCTGGCGGAGCAACGTTTCCAAGTACCTACAAACACACACAGGATGCTGTCTCAGTATAGGTTACATGCTTGGTCCTCAAAAGAAAAACAAGCTGGGCTCCATTAAGGTCTGTCGGGTATAATAAATAAGTAAAACTGTAGCCACTGAGCTTGCAAACTATTAAATTTTTTATTTGGTTTTCTGCTTGTTTTGGGTTCAGGATTTACCCCTCACTGGTGTGGATGTGCTTATTTGGTCCTCTAGTTAAATAGTGCATCTTCCTAAATGTTATAATAAATTAAATGTTAAACTAACTAAACTAACTTTTCAGAAGAAAGTTAAGGTAGGGTGCACTCAAAACTGTTCGTTTCAGACAGAAGGTAAACAGAGAGGCTGAATTAAGGCCCCGAAAAAAGCTACTGTAGTAGAGCCCAAGAATAAAGACATGGAGCTGGATGTGAGGAGAATAGAAATTGCTCTGATTAAAAAAAACAATCATCTAAAACTACTGAGAAAAGTCTAGTGAGTTATTTGCGTTGTTTGTTGTTTATTTCCTCCTCAAATTACACTTCTGCTTCCTTTGCTGTGTCATTTTTTGGTATTTTATTAACAATGTTTTTGGAGAATTGCAGAAGTGCTAAAAATCAACACACCAGTTTGTGTATAAACTGGTGATGGTGGGCTCTCCGTGGCTGTCCAGGTGCTGCGTCTGCTGCAGGAGGACGTTGTTGAAAACTCGTGTGATGTCGATGGTGACGTAGTTCTCTATGGACTGCAGCACGGTCATGTATGCTCGGACGCTCGTCAGCAGCTCGCTGGGCTTGGCTATCTCCTGAGTAGCCTGGTTGTACATGGTCATCCCCACTATGGACCTGGACACGATCAGAGGTCAATAAGACATGCCTAAGTTAAAGTACATTTAGTAAGAGCACTTTTAAACCTCAAAGTTGCACAACTTACTTTAATTACCTTAATTTTAACGATCATAAAGCTGCAATCCCTTAACTTTTCATTCTGAAACACCAAAGCGGTTTACACCTAAACTGCTCAATTAATCTGCTTTTAAATAACTGCTTAAAGCACAACCTCTGGACTGTGCACTGCTTAATAATTACTGTCATGTCATGATGAGGTAGTAATTTGTACTTTTTCCTATTCACTGAAAGCTGTACATGTAGTATTTAATTAACACAGAGGTGGTGAAGAGCAGCGTTAGCTGGGCTGCGAGGTCGACAGATGCAACTCTAAATTGGACAAATGTATCTGTAATTATACACCTTCACTATGAAAGCATGCGTGCGTGCTTATTTACTTGGTAAATCGGATCTCCAGGTGCGAGGTGAGGTACTCCCTCGGTGTGAAAGTGTGCTCCCACACAATCAGGTTGGGAACGTAGTTGATGGAGAAGCAGAGTTCAGATAAGGCGGTGTGGAGTTTATCCAGACTGGGGGGCGGGAGGAGACACATAAACAACAGATATGATTAAAACCTGATCTGTGCAGAGAAAACAAGCAACAATACCAATAAAACCAATAAAAGAGAGCAAAACTATGAGACTTAAAATGAAGGAAGTATAGATATATGTAGGTGAAAATATAAAAACTTAATTGGAAAGCGCTGACACGTCTGGGAAACGGTGATAACAACACGGTGGAGGGTTCAAAACAATACCAGCCAGATTTGATGTGTTAAAAAAATAATATTTCAACTATTTATAGGAGAAAGAAACAGCTAAATATTACCATTTTCATTTTTACTGCATGAGCAAAGATGAATACTTATTAATCTATAAACAATTACAGATCACTATAATTAAAACACACTCAACAGTAATGAGTTTTTAAAAGAAGCATAAAGAATAAGCTGAGCCTGAGAACAGACAGAGGCAGACTGTGGCTCTGCAGATCCTTCAAAAATATTCAGATCTTCACGTTCCCTCTTTTTGTACTAACTTGGTGACCAGCAGTCTGTTCTTCCTCATGCTCTCCACGCCTGGTTTCTCCCTCTCCGGCTCGCCTTTCTTCCCCGTCGCCTTCTTGCTCTTCTTGTTCACAGCTTGGCTGATGGTTTTTGCGCAGTGCTTGGGAAGCAGCTAAGGTAAAAATAAAAAGGTACAACATTTCACTACAATTATTAAGCCACTGATATTTTGTTTTAAAGTGCTCTTCAGATTTACATGAGACCTTTTTACTTGTTTAAAGAATCATTATTGTTTTATATTATGATTTTTACAATTTAATAAAAATTTTACTTATTAAGCTCCTTTTTTCCCTCATTTAACTGAAATCTTTTCTGTTGATTATTTTTTTAACTTATTGATTGATTTTGTTTTGCCTTGCTCTCATTTTTTTTTAGCTATTGTATTTTATTTAAGTAAGGTTGTGGATTTTTTGAACGTTTGGGATAAATGAGGTATATTTCATCTCATGTTGAAGACAAAAGAAAAGCAGTAGTAATCTTTCTTAGGCAGTTAAACCAGGAGACTGACAGACATATTTAAGGAGCTTTTAACAACAACAAGCTTCAACAAATGACTAAATATTTATATGGACAAACATCATTTTATGCTCTGGGTATTGATGGCAAAGTGTTGGTCGATCTGAGAATCTATTTCAGTACTGGGTCAAACTTGCATAATAGCAAAATTATCAATACCATGTATTATTGTTTCTACATTAATAAGCCAGCAATTAATTTCTTAATGCCCAAAAAAGGGATAATTTACAACTGAATCGACATGTAGCAATTACATGTGGCAAAATATTTTACAAAGCCTGATTCTACCTTGAAATAAAGTATTTTTTTCATACTGGAAGAAGGAAATAAACTCCCGGATGTATTTCTCCTCTTGTGTGGAAGTCTGCACAACTGTAGCCCTGCTGTTTTGTTCCTAGTGGAAACCCTGACAGTAGTTTAAGTATAGATTAAACCAGATGAACTGGTCAGTTTATCTTTGGATTGATTTTATTCTCAATAAAGTCTGTCAGCGTCTAACCAGCGTTCAAACAGAGGGTGTTGGAGGGGTTGGCTGACGCAGATTGTTAACCTGTATCACTGTCAGTCTGATCAGTAATTTGTAGCATTTGTATTCAAGCTAGAAATGTCAAACTGTCCCTGTAAACAGTTGGCTTTGTGTTCCTACCTGGTCACTAAGTGTACACTGCTCGGTGCAGATGTCAGTGATCAGGTTTCTGGCCTGTTTGGCCATTTCGTCCAAAAACATGTTGCACAACGACAGGCTTCGATCCCCTATGTGGTGACGCTGAGGAGGAGAGTAGGAAGAGACAAAAAGACTCAAAGTGAAATCATTATCAAAACAGCATAATCATCACACATATCACGCCTGATGCCCAGGCTCAGAGGGGAAAGCGGCTGTCAGTCAATGATAAAAATTGTATTGAATTTTGTAGAATCTGTTTCAAAAAGACCAAAACAGTTACTGCGAGGTGCCTGTTTAGATGCATTTTAGATGGGTATAAAAAAAGAAAGCCCAACTGTCTGCTGGTTCCAATAACAAGTGTGTTTATCAGTGTCCTTCAGTTTATGCCTATACTGAGTCAATTTTTGCTTTTCACTTCCAACCAGCATTGATTAAAGCCACACTCGACTGGCTGAACATCCCTGAACTGTAATGTGAGTTTTTTCACATGGAAAGTTTCTTCTTCTTCTTCCATGTTTTTCCTTTTTCCCCTTTAATTTTTAAACATTTAAATCATCGGAGTGTGAAATTGGATTAAAACTGGGAAGTCAAAGACTCCACATTTTTATATTTGGAAAATTCACTAAAAGTTGACCAAATGGGCACATTTTTGTAACATTTGCTGCTGACATTTTGACCAACTGATACCATCAAACATACACAGAATTGGCCATTAGGAGATCCTATTTGAAGTGCAGCAACACGTGCTGATAACGTCCTCGATTACGTTTAAAAAGAAGAAAATGTGTCTCGGTTGATTTACTGACCTCTACGCATTTCCCTTCATTATATCCACCCCCCTTTCATTACATCTCCCCATCTATCCTCCTTCCTCTGTACCTTCCGTTCAACCCACAGATATCTATTCTTGGGAAACTTTCAAATGTCCTCATCTCCCCATCTACAGGCGCCATTATGTAAAATTAAAAAGAATATCACACAAACTGGGTTTTTGTATGCATGTGTGTATTTACCTCCTCGGGACAGAGCTCATGTGTACAGGACATGAAGTGTGTACAAAGCAGAGGGAAACAGACTGAGTGGCGGCTCTGGGAGGGAAGCTCCAAGCACTGCTGAAACATCTTCTCAAATGCACGGCTGTAGAAGCTACACACAAGAACAGAGAAAAAAGGAAAATATACATATTTAAACTTATGTCTGAATTATGCACAGGACTTACCAGAGTTTCACATGAGTGTCTCACCAGAAAATAGACAGGTCTGATGTCTCCACAAGCATCTCCACCAGAGAGTCCACCATCTTTGTGTGGAAGATGATGGTGTTCATCATTTTACCGAGCTCTTTGTGATCGGCTAAACCGAGACTGGCTTTAGAGACACTTGTGTAGGCCTAGAGAGAGGAATAACAGCACAAGCAGGGCATAAAAGACAAATCCAAGTTCTTTATTGTTACATATTGCACTACCCCGACTTACTGAACAGGATCGTTAATATCACATTAAATATTTTATTATGTTTTAGTTTTCAAGGATAACATAGTTTCCTTGAAAGACTTATTTCAAAAGAATTTAAGCATGAAAGTTGTGTATATACCTGCAGTCTGAACCAATCCAGTCTCATGCCTCTGAAGTCAAACACTTCTCCATCCTCCACTGAAACACACAAATCACACTCAGTATTTTAGTAACTTTAATTATTAATAACTGTACTACGATCAATACTGCCAGTGCAAATGCAAAAATAACGACTCGTCCTGGTATTTCTCTGATCTTCCATTTAACAGTCTTACCTTGTTTAACACTGAGAGAAGTCATGGTGTTGACAAATGAAGACATGATTATAGATTCATCCTCTGGACACACAGACAGGTTCTGTAAAATAAAACGGAAATGAGGCTGATTAGACAGGACTGTATTCACTGTAGATTCATCTTTTAAATATGACAAAAATGTTAATAAATAATACAGTACATTAAAAGTTTGAAGAGCATTATAGAAACAAAAAAGTTGAATTTTTATATTAATATTAAAAACAAAACATGCTTTTAAAATTGCGTTACAGTAAATGTAAGACCTGTAATCTGACACCTGACATAAGCAGCCTCACAGCCGTGCTGGATGGTGACACCAGCTCAATAACACCATGTTTTAGGAGGAAAGCAATATCAGATTAAATGTGACTGAATGCAGTAAGAGTGCTTAGTCTCAGGAGTTTGTATTTTTTTTTTTTAAATGTTCCCACCTGAACCAGTTCATTCAGCACCACAGCATCAAACCCAGACAGGTACTGGACGTAGTATCGCTGCATCACAGGCCCATACTTCCTGACATGAGCTCTGAGCTCCTCCATGTAGAAGATCAGCTCAGCTATGTGTCTGCAAAACACACATACACACATCAGCAGGTGTGAAGACGCAAGTGTGTTTATACAGGCATGACGCGTGTACACAAACACACTTGTCCACGCTTACTTGTCTATGAAATCATCTGTGCTTTTCTTCTGGATGTTGTCTGCGTGTCGAAGCAGCCAGATGATCTCATCACGGGCGAATGACAGCGCCATGAACACAAACAGCGCCTAGCAGACCAGAAATTTGGAGGGAAGTGGTGAGAGAGAAGCTCGCAGCATCTGCGTTCTCAGAATCTCTAAATGCAATCTGAGACTTTATGAATGGCTTTGCAGCTATTGGTGCCGTATATCAAGTTCCACTAGAAGAATTGGGCTGGTAAAGACTCTAAATGATGCATAATTTAAAAGACATGTTATTGTGGTAGTTTACTGCATATTTTATATAATCTGTTGCACTCTTTTACCTATTCCGTTTATCCTGACTGAATTTCAGCTATAATGAAAACAAAAGGTTATTTCAATCCATGTTAGTTTTATATTTACTGGGACCTGTTCTGGGATCTGTGTGCTCTCCCACGCACATACATGAAAAGCTGAAGAAAGGTAAAGCAACAGGAAAACCACCCTGTACAGAACTATAAACATCAATGGCAGCAGGAATGATACCACTAAAGTCTAAGAGCATGGAAAGGATGATGGCAAAGCAACTTGTAGAATTGCATTGATCTCTGTAAACGCCAACCTGCTCTGTAGAGAACATTAAAATGGCTGAATGAGGGTGGCTTTGTAGCTTGCCTGAGCTCCCTCTCAGGCTCTGTACACAAGATCTGGTTAAATTAATTAATTAAAATAAATGAATTTGAAATTAGTTTAGGTCTATCTAATGGGTTTTGGTCAATTTAAACAATAGCAAACATCCCGAGCAACAAAAAGCAACTAAACAGGTGATACTGTAGTATTTGAGGCAGCTTTTTATAATTCATCAGGTTGCAGCCGCTTTCATTTGACATGTTGTTTTCAAGTTATGTGAGCCACTGTGAAATGAACCATTGTTTTGCAAAGACCACTTTTTGAAGTTTTGAGCTGAATGTGTTCGGCAGCTTAGTGTTTTTGAAGCCTCACTGGAAACTGGGCAGATCTGATTGTGAAACTGAAGTTCAACACAAATCATAAGGCAGGCCTGGCCTTAATCATGTGCTGCCTTATAATCAGTCATGACAGTAATATGGACCATGATTTAAAATATAAAGATCATGTTGTATTCCACACAACTTGAAAATAGAGATTGAGACGATAAACACCAGCGATAAGGTCATAGATCAAATGAATTAGAGGATATTTCCCCCTGGACTTGCATAAAACCCAACTTGTTTTTGTAACAAAAACAAAGTTATGTCCTGCTGAAAGAAAGAAGGTTTAAACCTGAAACAGGAAGAAACAGAAAGTCTATGATTACAACTGAACAGAGTGTTATTTGCAGTGTTTTTTTATATTACCTTTGGACCAAGCAGTCCAGGTTGGTCAGCTAAAACAGTGGCCAGCTCTTTCAGAGCTGATCTGAGGAACTTGCGCCTCTCTCTGTGCATGGAGCCTCTGTAGGCAGCCAAAGAGACCGAGGAAGTCAGAGCAGTGCATCAAAACATACAAGGCAATGTGATTAAATGGTATTCTGACACTTTTAGGACAATCCCGCAGGAGGACAAAAAGTAAGTAGATGACAGTGACAGCAGAAGAATAAAGATGAAAGGGGAAGACGGAATAAGTAATGAGGATAAAAGCAGAGATGAGGCATGGGGGGAAGACGACGAATAGAGGATAAAACGGGAGGAAAACATGAAAAAGGATACAGAGAAAAGGGTGATGTTTCACAGTGAAGCTTCCCGAGAGAGGGTAGACGCATATGCTAAAATGACAGTTAAAATCTTTAAATAAAAGACCAGGAATATAAATTAATAATATAGAAAATGGGGGCATTAGAAAAAAATAAAAATAAAATGTGAGTGTATTTTATGTTTGCATGAGATAGTATGAAACAAGGTTATACATACGCATGAGACAGGGCCTGTTCTTTGCACTCCCTGATGTCATTGATGCGTTTGTTGTACCTGCAAAACACACAAGAGGAAAGGATGCTTTAAAAAGAGCAAAATGGGAAAACTGGGACAGAAAATGACAATCAAATCTTCAAATTCCTCAATAAAAATTCAAACCAAAAAGATATTCAACAATCATATCAAAGTAAAAAAAAGGAGACATGATCACAGTTTGTGTGATTGTGCACCAGTTAAAGAGCGCCTGCCTGTGTCCACATAGACACATTCTCATACCCTCTGATGTTCACAAAAAGGTCCTCAGCAGCCTTGTGGATGTGGAAAACTTCATCCCTGAACAGACAGAGACAGGTGGAGCTCTGCAGAGCCAACTTCCACAAAGACAGCGCTGCTGCGTCGCTATTCAGCGCCACATGACACAGGATGAAACCAACTGCAGAGAGAACGGAGAGAAATACAGAGCTAACTGCAGACTGAAGCCTTTTGATCATCTGGCACCCAATTCACATGATCAGAGCACTAGATTCGACTCTGCTTCTACACTACTTACAAACAATCCACTTTTCCATTGTGTCCAGTGACAGGTATTCACAGGGCATCTAAAGACAAAGACACAGTTGAATTCAGTTTTTCCAGTTGTATCACTTGGCACAAAGAAGCTCTGACATCAAAAGCCTGCACAGAACAGGTTAATAGATTATTGAGAAGCTTTAAATGATCATTCAGATCATACAGATTATTTTAAGACAGTCAATCGGGATACTAACAGTGTCAGACTGAGCAGGATTGAGCATTGTGGAGGGAGCAGAGATGAGAGAAAGCAGCTGGGCGTTCCTCCACTGGTCAGCTGACAGATTCCTCCTGGGATAGACCATCTGAAGGCTGACCAACGCATCTGACAGGGACTGCAGGAGGAGAGACAGGACTAAATTCTTCCGGTATAAAACTGACTTTTGAAACTAAATAAGCAGCAATTTCAGAGCCACTGTACGCAAACTTGGAAAAAACAAACAAACCCCAAAACCCTTTATAGTGTTGTTAAAGTCATGAAAGTTGTTAAACCATCCTCTTTGTTTTCAATTAAGTTTATTTGAAGTATCAAGCCTGATTTAGACTTCTGCAGGAAATAAATGTCCTCATTTTTTATCGTAACCGGAAACTCTCCCCAGCCCTATGCTGTAACCTTCTACACCATTCGAGTCGCTGCGAGCTGTGTCGACCCAACATGAGGCGCATGTCAGGTTACGGAAAATGTTACAGAGTAGGGCAAAAACCGAGTTTCCAGTTATGACGGAAGTCACAACGTAGATTTCCCACGCAAGCATAAGTCATGCATGATTTGAAAAGTAGAAGTCTGTGTGTTTGTGGACAATATGCCACATAAGCTCAGTGAGGCATTTGAAATGCTATGACAACTGAACCTCATTCAAAAACAACACTAACCAATAAAAGCAGAAGTATCTGTAAACACTGTAGATCATGGTGCATATACCAGGGCTATTGATCAAGGAAAATCAAACCAGTGATTATTTTGATCAGTACTGACATCACATTTTTATTCAGTACAGCTACAGGTGTATACACAAGTGATCTACATGGATGAACAGAACAGACGGGTTCCTTTACAGAAACCTTTTTCCTAGTTTTAGTATAGATGTTGCAAACCAAAAGCTCTCTGCATCAACTATCTTGCATTTGTACAATGTTAAAAACCTACATTTCACAATGCACAAACAATTCTCCCACCTTTCCATGTGGAACAAACTCCTCCATCATCTTCTTCAAAGGGTTCTCATAATCCACAATCATTTGGCCCAACCTGGGGTACTCCCGGTCACTGCAGCAACACACAGAGGTAGTGACGTAGTGTCTAAGTAACTGTTTCTACTAACAGTTTATGCTGCTATGATGTCTGTAATAGTGTGCAAACTTCTCACATCAATCTAACTCTCAGTTACCTGGCTCCATGCGTCATCTCATGGGCATAGTTGTAAAGCCCTATGATGGCTTTCCTCTCCTCTATGCGAGAAAGTATTATCATCAGAGTAGTGTATGTTACCACCAGATCCAGGTAGTTCTTAGTCAGGTCAAAATTCACCGTCTGATGGGGGAACACAGGTGTGTCATTACATGAAGCAAACAACAAGAAAGGCAGCGATTACACAGAAACAAGAGACTATATACCTCCATCAAGGCTGAACACTTCCTCTAAAGGAGGGGCAGGCAATTAATGTTCCCAAGAGGCCATATGAGATACTGGGACTGTTGTGGAGAACACCACCAATAAGTTTTTAAAGAGATAAAATTGAGCAGAATTGAGTTCAGCTTACTGGAGTAGCCCCACAACAGCCCCAACAGGCCCTGGGGAATTTTAATTACCCACTCCTGCTCTGAAATATGTATAAATTGAGTTTATACATGCGGAGGTGATCTGGATCCAGTTTAGTCTGTAATATTTTCAAGGACATCAAGATGATACCTTCCAAATTCTATCACTTTGGCGTATCTTTTAAAGTATGACACAAAATGTGCAATTATGCTCTAATTCACAAAGGTAAAGAATCCTTTTCAAAGATCCTAAACTTCAGTGCAGGTTAACTCCCAGGATTTGTCCCAGACTAAACCCACCCTGTGGTAACATTTTCATGCAAACAGAAAAACTGAACCAACCATTTAACTTCCTTGCTGGAGGTAAAACATATTCATAAATACTTCTGTGGCTCTGGAATGCTCAGGGAATGAGGAAGAATGAAAAAAAAATAGAGGAAAGAAAGGGGAGGAGAGAATCTCTTTAGGATTCTTCGGTTCTGAAACATGATGAGGTAAGCACAGGAGAAAGATCTCACTTAATGGTTCTAATAAAAGAAAGGATTAAGTCTAGAAGTCGTCAGGGGGGAAAAAAAAATCTTCAATAACTTTACAGCTTATTGTAGTTCAAGACTTCTGAGTGGGATCTAGACTCTTGCTCCTCCTTTGGGCCTTGTTTTCAGTCTCTAGGAAAAGGGAGTCTTTGACCCACAACAGAACTTTGCAGGTTCTGGTGGGTAATTCTTCCTTTTTAGGCTTCTTTCTATGTTTTCTGAAGCGTTAAAACATTGTCCTGTTACATGTGATACACATTCTTTAAAAAAGATAAATAAAATATATTTGCTTACAATGTCAAAGAAGACCTGGCAGGCATCGATGGTGTTCAGCAGCTCACACACATGATCCTATTAATAGAGCGAAGAGAAATGTTTTCATTAGAACCACCAAAGTAAAAGAAACACGTCCTCGTGTGCTTCACCTGAGTGCCACTGTGTGTTTTTCCCCACCTTGAATTCCATGACATCGACGAAGGTAAAATAATAGAGAGCCAGGTTCTTCAGAATCTCTGACTTCTCCTTCTGCAGCTGGGCCAGCTGTTGCTATAAAACCACATGGCAAAGAACACAAAGTTGTGAATTTTAGAAGTGCTGCGTGAACCTGAGGCTTAGGTTTTCCAGTAACTAAGTACTGCTTTCACTGTGTTCCCTTCAGAGTAGTCACAGAGAAACGTCATACAGCAACTCAGGACCGTTTACTCTTTTACAGCTGGTATGATTAAAAGATGGGACTGACTTTGGACATTTCTTAAATGAATCATCAAAATCATCTTTTAAATAAAAAAGAAACTCTGGTTAAGTTCTATTTAACTCTGGAAATATGTTTCTTTGACAATTTGATTTTTATTAACTCTGAAGAGAAATATCTGCATATTCCTATCCCACCCAGCTAAAAAGATGTAATTATCAAGTTTCCCTTCAGGGATCCGTAGAGATCATCAGGTCTTGAGTTTCTTCATTTTGAAGTTAATTAATTGAAACTTAATCAACAGCAAAGCGGCAGAAACCACACACAGCTGCTAAATAATTCAGTTATTGGAGCTAAACTATTCTTAAGACAATTTTAAAAAATGACTTTCTATTCCATGTAGATACATGAAAGTTATTTTACTTTGGTGAAGAACTTATTTCATTTAATGATTTTCTGGAACACTTTGCATACAGGAGAACTTGGTTATCAATTTTCTTCTTTTGCACCTTGTTGTATGTTAAATAAAGTTTTGAATAACTCGTTTTCCGTGTGGCGGTTTTCCAGAAGCTGTAATGAAATGTTTCACCAAAGTAAAATCTGCCTATATAAGCAAAGCAGAAACCATTAACCCAACAGCACCTCAAAAAATAAAACACTGTCAATACGAGTCTTTAGCTGTGGATACAAAGTGTTTTCAAATCCCAGTTTACCTTTAAAAGATTGCTGCATCAATCTTTTAAAGTCTAAAAATCAACATGAAGTATCTGACTTCAGCACCTGAGAAGCAGTGTATTAACATGCTAGAAATGACTGAAGCATACTGTATGTAAATTGAACCCAGCTCCAGAGCAATCTGAGGTCAGAACCGCACCCTAAACCAGAACTGGCCTAATAGGCAAAGGTGGAAAAAGGTCAAAACATGACAAGTCTAGGAAGCGTGAAACACTGCTGCTGCAACAAGGAGTTCAAACATCTGGTATTTGGCTCAAGTCAACTAAAAGTGGAACAATCACTGTTTATTTTTTAATTCCTAAAAAAACAAAACAAATAACAAAACAGTTTTTCTTGCACAATTTCGATTACCTGCTGAGTGACACTCCTTATTGCATGCAGTCAGCAAGTCATTCAAACACCAGCTGATCAGTCATCAAGCAAACCTAACCAACTAGCCAGGTGGGTAACTAGCCACGCAGTCATTCACAGGATGAAGAAGAGAAAATAAAAATGCTGCCAGAGAAAGCTGAGCAAAGCAAAACACACTCCAAAAGAGCTTTAAAAAAACCAAAAAGAAACAAAACCAAAATAAATAAATAAATCCCCCCCCTGCAAAAACAAACACAGGTACAAATAAAAATACATAATATTACAAAACTTAAGTGCTTAAATTAAACTCAAAAAGTTACAGAAACTTAGATACAAAAACTTACCAAAAAGCACAAGTCCGGATTAAGCCAAGTTTAGCATGCAGAACACAAACAAACACAGAAACAAAGCAGAAAAACAACATAAGAGACACATTTTTAAGCACAGTTATACTGAATAAAGCAGTTAGCTACACACACGGTATAAACACACATACGCGCACGCACGCACACACACACACACACACACACACACACACACACACACACACACACACACACACACACACACACACACACACACACACACACGCAAACAGCTTTTTGCTAAATGGTGCTCTGACACAAACGCCATATGCTAACAAGTAAAGCTAAAAAGAAAAATCTGATGAGCAATGACTTTAGTTCACTTGACACACATGCGCACACACACACACACACGCACACCTGACAAAGGTGTAAGAGATGCTGGATACCCAACGCCATCACACCAGTGTAGTCTTTACCTGGCCAGCCTATTTCCAGCCACCACTGGAAATGAACAGATCCTCATGCATATTCTGTCTCATTATTATTTCAATTTTTTTTTAACTTGTCTGAAAGAACAAAGTCCTCAGTAATCAGCAGTTATTCCCCTTGCTCTTATTTTGAAAGTTTAGTCACTGCCCTACTCTACTCATTATTTTGATTCCCTGGCTGGGCCGCCGTCTTTAATTTAACTTGGCTGCCTCTGTAGAAAGGTTAGAGTCTCGCCATCGGACGAACTGAACTTGCTGTTTGAGCTGGAACCAATGATGGAAGTCTTTTCTATGCTCTGGAGAAAGCTGTGATAATTGTGAGGTAGCTGATTATATTTCTCAGTTTCTTTGTCACCAAATAAGTCTTTTAAGAAAATGTGCACACACAAGCACACACACAAAACTAAACCTGTGGGAAACCATCTTCTCAGCTATGTTGACCCATTTCTTTTTAGAATTAAACCCAACTCAAATTGCATTACATGGTCACATGACTATGGAAGAGGATTAGGGCCACCCGAGGAAAAGTGGGGATGTCTTTTGTAAAATTTTGTAATATTGTAAAATTATCAGGCACCCTCTAATAGAGAAAAACTTAAATAAATAAATAAATCCTCAGATCTTCAACAAAAGATCAAAGCTTCCAAAAGCAAGGAAACAAACAGGCAGCCAACCAAACAACCAGATCAACCAGCCACATGGAAACCCTACTCGATTCACGGGCAGTCAACAATACTCCAGCAGTTTTTTGGGGCTAGCTGAGCAATCCAATGCAAGATTAAAGTGCACGCGGGCTTAATTAATAAATGGAAAAGTAATTTGCCTGACACATGGTGTCAGGGAGGACAATGGTTTGTTACCTTACAGGAATCTCCCACACTGACTGCTAGGCACCTAAAAATGGTCTTAACATTTACTGAAGCACCAAATCAGAGTGATGTAGCTTCCTGAGTGGGAAGTAAGCTTAATGAAAAAACAAATAAACAAGTCCAATAAAAAAAAAGAAAAAAAGAAAAGTATAAATCACATTCAGAAACAACATCATTTGGCAATTGCCAGACAGAGTTTATATAAACAAGTTAGTAATGCAAGTGAATATCTCGCTAAACATTATATAGAATTAAATTAGCAAAAATACGTGTCATGTTTCAAAGTATTTCGTTTGTAAACTAATACTTCTAATACAAATTTTACTTTATTTTTTTTTATATCTCAACTGATTAGCAGCTGCTTTTACATGTTGTTCAGTGTCTGGGTCTATTTCTGCCCTATATTTGTAGTGCAGGAGCTTTTTTATTTATTTATTTTCAATAAGATAGCAAATTATAAATGCAACAATCAGAAGATATGGAGAGCATAAAAATAGAGCTGCACCCTTGATTCAAAGTGTGTAGTAACGAAGACAAATCAAATCATCTATCCTGCTAAAAAGACACTTTTTCCTTCCACTTCTCTTTGCATAATAGACGTATACGTAGGAATACTCACGTTGTTATTCCGCGTCTCCACTGCAGGAAACTTCCTGACAATAAATTTAACCGCAGACTCCAAGTTCTTATCGACGAGATAGGAGGGCTTAGCCTTGGGATCGCCACATGCCTGTGGAGGAAAAGAGAAGAGGACGTGAGGAGAGAGGAAAAAAAATATGACAAGTACAGTGCTGCTACTGAAACATCTGGCTTTTTTACCCTTTTCTCACTTTCTCATAGTATGGCATGTTAAATTTGTTGTATTTACTGGGGTTGGATTTAGTGCTCATAGTGAAACCTGGTTTATCCCAGGACTGATATCAGAGGAGGCGTTTGAGTGAATGAAATATCAGCACTGCATATATTCAGTGGTGTTTCCAAACCAGAGGCATATTTAAGACATGAAAACGAACACACACACAAACTTGATGCAGTGGCATGTGCAGTCTTATTTTCCATTAAGATGCACATGCCAAAAAAAGGATTGACAGGGTAGATTTCCACCAGGCTGAACAAAGTTTGGAAGTCTGCGGTTTTCATGTTTGGATAAACCAGGTTCAACTGAGCAAGAGCCTGAACTTATCAGTGGTTCTCAGCTGCTGAGCTGTAGAGATTAGAGATTTTAAATAGAATAAATACTTAAAATTGCTCATTTCTACTGATTAGACAGTTGCTTTTTGTGAATAATAACCCTATAACCAATAACTGACAGAATTTTAATTGAAATTTAGTTCTTGGTTATTTTAGTTCTGGTATTAAAACTGATAATATGTACCAACTGGTAATATTTTAATATCTGTTTTAGTACATATGAAATTACATATAACTCGGCAGTCAGGGTGGTGGTAGCATAATTCACCAGGCTTTATGTTATTTATTTATTTATTTATTAACCTTTATTTAACCAGGAAGATCCCATTGAGATTAAAAACCTCTTTATGAACCTCATGTCATGTTTTTCCTCACTGATAACTAAATGACAACCAGACTTAAGTCTAGAAAAATAATTCTGTCTTGAGTTAAATATGACAACTTATGACTGAAGATATTAGGGTCCATTCTATGACATCATATGAAAGGTATGAAGTGGGGATTTTGACTTACAGATTACTTTTACACATTATGACCTAATTATTTACGCATTTTCATGAAAAAAATGTTTTTAAAAGGGTAAATTATAATAATAAATACCATGGTTGGTTACAGTTAAAATCTGCATTATTGTGTTATTATGATCAGTAACGAGATTATTATTATTCCACACGATTACTCAAGACGTTTACCTAAACAGACGTTTTAAACTTCCTCTGAGTGAACTTCCTTGAAATTTAATTCTAATTCCAATGAAAATAAATAAGAAGGAAAGAGCTGAACGCCTGGCAGGGAGTCAATTTGAGCTTGTTGGAGTGACAAAAGTAAATTTGGTGGCTGAAACACAAAACAAAAGCATTGATGCAAAAAAGAATGCGGCATAATAATCATCTATCTTGTTTTAATAGTTTTTGAAGCTAAAACTTTAACTGAAATGAATATTTGATGAATTAAACAGCCCTCTAAAGCCTCCTTCAAGACAAACCACAGTATTTTAATAAATGATTAACTATTTCAGAAAGCAATTGGTGGCGGTTCCTTAGGAAATTACAATTTGGTTAAATTACTAGTTTTTAAGACTTTTGTTAAATATTGTTTAGTGATGGTTTACAAACAATTAATCCTGAAAGTTTAGCTTTGTTATCAACAACACAAATGAGGCTGAGAACCACTGAGAGTCCCAGGTTACAATGGTTTCAGTGTCAAACTGTGTCTCTGAGTGGTTAGTAACACCACTACATGACGGGAAGAGCAATGAGCAGGTAGAGGGAATGAAACAGAAGAGAGAAAGAAAAATAGGTAGAAAATGGGAAGGAGGGAGAAATTAAAGGCACATGGAGGCTTCAAGTGAGAAATGGCAAAGTAGGGCACAGAACGAGAGAGAGATAGAGATAAGTGTTCAGAGAGAAAGCCTTTTCTTAGTTGAGTGTTTTCTATCCTACATGAGCAGAATTAATTCACTGCACCTGCACATTTCTGCTTATTCATATTCTAATCTTTTACTCTGCAGGTGTTGAATTGTCTGCCCTGACTGCCTGGCAGGAAGCAACAGCTCTCATGCATTATGGGTAGTGTAGTAGCAAATGGTGAGGAAGATGTGGTCCATGCATGTGCCATAAACAGAGTGAATGTGTAAAGTTTATTGGCTGCCAACACCGAGGAACAATCCTAGAAGAGGTCAGACCCTTTGTTCTGAGGATTCACTTCCTCGTGGTTAATGTTCAAGTTTAGAAAGTGGAAGTACACATTTAGAAAGGCCAGAAAAAGTAACATGAAGTTACCATAATGAGAACTGCAACACTTAGCTGTACTATAAATGAACTGTTTTCTACACTGCAGGAACAAATCATAGCTAGTGGCCCATCAGGCCTGCAAACAGCAACACAAGCATAAAACCTGGATTTCAGTTTGCATGGCGCTGAAAGGTTTCCAGCATCAGCCAGTACAAAATGAACCCGCAACACAACAACACATGCTAATTCACACTGACAACCTCGGTATCAAAACATGATGAAATGCAGGCTGGAGATTCAGGTTTTGTTGACACTCCCACAAGACAGCGAGCAGTAGCTCCATTTAAAGCTGTGTTGTAATATACCGCATCACTGACAATGGGTTTGGCCTTAAGACTCTGAAGCCTTTAAACAATGGCAATTAGTGCCCTCTCTTTTAGGATTTAAAGTTTAATCACGCTTTAAATTAAAAAAAATGGCAATAGCTACTATAGAATCATGTCAAAGCTTGTGGCTGGTTTAACCCCGGTTAAAGAGGAAACAGTGATAAGCAGCTGCTACCATTATGTATCTGCTAAAATTCAACTTGGAATGCAGAATGGTGCAGACACAATTTTAATTCCCTAAAACTATGACATGAAAAAGAAAATCCAGTCTACCCAGCGAGCATAATCAACTACAGTATATGCATTTTGCTAGAGACAAAGCCAAAACCCAGTTCTGCTCTGCATGCTTAGCTCTTACAGTTCTATAGCTGAAACGCACTCACTACTGCTGGATCTGAAACACATAACACATGTGGACACTATGAAGGGATTGGACACAAACACACAACACCAACAAGGTTTCAAGACCCATCAATGACAGAATGGACCTAGAGTCTCAGCTTGTTTCCTTATGCCCACCTCTCTCACACCAGGTCAGACAGCAGCCAGACAATGTTCAAAGGCTAAGTGAAAATCTGCTCAAGTGTACGAGAGGCAGGCTGAATTTTAACTAGGTTAAGAACAAGGAACCAAGATGTGACTGTTAAATCCATGCAACTGCAAAAAGCACAAGCCTGGCTTTGCTAACACAGCACTCATCTGGTGACAGCACCACTAGGTTCACCCAACAACAGACTAGTCACTATGTCTGCAACTGTAATGTAGTTACCCTCTGACTCACACCGGGGAACTGCAGAAAAGACATTGTTCAGTTACTACATCACATTGATATGCTAAACGCAGTGTTTTATCATGTTTTAGCCCAAATTCAAAGCATAAGACAATTCATTTATAGTTGTTGTAAATTACATTAACAACTCTACATAGTCAGCAACTTCAACAGTTTTAAACTGAGTGTAACAGTTATTAGAAGAATTATGTGTGTAATTATGTATTATTTATGCATTTAGTGATAGCCTGTGTATTTTTAAAGTCACAATTTTGAATGTTTAGCACACAAAAGTAATTTGACACAACAGACAAACATCAGTCCCCAGTGTGTTTAAATGCCACTTTATCAATCAACAGGACCAATGCTGCCTGATATGGATATTCAGCCAGTCTGTTAGCGACATACTGCTAAGTTTTTAAACACACAATAAAAAAAATATACTTAATTTAATTATGTGCTTCCGGTTTGACTTTTCACCTTCAGAGCTCATACATGTGATTCTATATAGCATTTCTACTGATTCTCTAAAGTTAAATATTAATCAAAAAAACAAAAAACATTTCCACAACCCTTTGAAAGCTCTAAAATAGGGAGGAAACACACACTGAAAAATTTCATACAAACTCCTATTACTTGAATGATAGTTTGCCACTAATATCAAGTCGAGTGAGTTGCAATTAATGGGCTAAAACATGCAAAACCCCAATTCTGATTATTTTTCAAATTGTATAATAGTATATTAAAGAGATTTCTTTAATGTTCTTGAATTTTTTCTTATTTGGGTTCAGTTAGGATAACTCTTTGGGTATTATTGACCATTTTATTTTCAGAAGAACAGACCATAATTGGATAACTAACATCTTAGCATCACAGATCAAAGACATGAATACTAGTTAAAATTTGACAGAGTTCATATGGCATGGGACTGTCTGTTAGTGCTGGTGGTGGCTAGTGCAATAAGCTGGTTGGCTGGGTTTGGGTGGGGTGGGGTGGGGGCTGATGGCGATATGGATGGAAGGAGGGGCGCAGTGAATGAAGGGACAGGGCATGGGAATAAGCTGAGAATCAGTAGTGGTCAGGAAGGAGTAAGGGAGCTGTTGCCTGGATACCAGAACAGACCTCAGTCTCGCCTCCACCATCGTTTCTCCACTCCGAGCAGCAATTAAACAGCTGAGCTTCTCAAAGGGTCCCCACACTGACCGACATATGGCAGGGGACCATGGGATACTTAGCAGCGGGCCAAGGAAGCACACATCTGAGGACTAATTACAGTTGCTAATTACTGGATGTAATATTTGAACGCTGCTTGGCACCTACTGAGTGACCCTTCAGAATCTGTGAAAACTACCTCCTCCCTGAGATGATTTCATTTTTGTCTGTCATTGCTCTCAGTGTGAGCGCCTTCGTTTTCACAAGGAGGGATTAACTGCTGGGGAAAAAAAAGAAACAGAAAGTTCCCCAAAGAATGGATGGATGGTCTCATGTGATATGAAACCACTAAAGCACTACTCCAACCTGCTATGACTGGTGTATTTCTTGACTGGTTGGCAAGTGAAATCAATCGTGAAGATGGTGCTGCATAAAAATCCTCCTTATGATTGCTCTGGTTACTGGCAGACTGTCGCGGTTGTATATAAGATGCAGACTTGTCTGAGAAAACTTGGAGAACATTCACCTTCAAAGTAACTGCTTTAACCAACATGTTTCAAATGAAGCAACTTTTACTTTGAAGGTAAATGGTGGCCCATTCCAGTTTGTATTGCACTTTTTCCAATTTTCACTACCGCTTAACCAGTAGTTAGTGAATGTTTTAGTGCAGCATCTTTACAACCGCCAGCAACCATTTGCCAACAGGTTGGGGAATAATTTTTCCTTAGCGACCAGTGGTTGCCATGATATCCTTCTATCAAACTGATATAACGATGCTGTACTAAGTGCACTGCACAAACGGGGCTCCAGAGGGCACTTCTGCTGGTAAGCAGTCTTTATGAACTGTGGAAGATGGCAATAGCTAATTGTTTACCATTCAAAGATTTAAAAATTATTATATTTATATTTTATTGTTTTTTATTTTATATATACATCTTATTTTTATTTTATATTATATATTATCTAAATAGTCATTTAGTTAGAAAGAAAGAAAAACAATAATAGAAGAGGGTTTTTTGGTCCTAAACAGTATATTTCACCTAACCCTTTTTAGGTGGTACTTTCAAGATATTGCCATCTACAATTATACCAAATAAACAGAAGAAGGCACGCCTACCTACTGGCATGAATCTCAATTTGTTGCTATTAATAAACAGAAAAAAAAAACATATAGCTACTATTACTGACACATTATATACACAACTATTATTGCATATGAAACACATCCATAACCCATCATAATGTATATTTTTAAACCTTTTTAAAGAAATGTTTTCACTGTGTGTATTATTAAATTTAATACAGGACTATGTTGTTATTTTATCATGTATACTGGACTTTTACACACCATAGGTGAAGATTTAAACACCTGTTAACTATTTTTCCAGCGACAAAAATCTAGTTTGGGGACTGCTTCAAAGACTGTTTATGTGAACTAAAATTAAAAGGCTTTATTTTATGGGGAAAAAAATGTAGTTGATGTCTGAATGCTTTATCATAAGCAAATGAATAACACAATGAATTAACATTGTGGGTTGGTAAAATTGACAGGGAATGGAGCCCAGCCTTACTTTCAGCACTACAGATGAAGAGGAGTGAGGCACAAAGGAGAGGACCAACAGATCAGTACAGGTAGCCAGGAGGAGGACGGGGAACAGGGGAGAGGAGGGAGAGGAAGGAGTTGAGGAAGGGTGACAAGGGGAGGGGTTTCATCAGTGGAAGGTGATAAATTTTGCAAACCTTCCAAACTTGTCCTTGCTGCATAGGAGAGGGGGGAAGCATTGGAACGGAGAGAAGAAGAGAAGAAATCAAAACAAAGAGCCCACCCAGGCAAACTGCTGGATCACTCATCCATACACTCACTCACGCTCTCTCCATGTCAGACACACACACACACGTTTTAAAAACAACAGCTGAGGTGTTTCCTGCGTGCTGGAGAGTTTGTTAAGGATAGCCCTTCTGGCATTTCGTTTCAATACAGCACATAAAAACACAAAAATCATGCCGCGCCAACATGTTATCACATTAACACTTATTTTAACGCACGCTGTCTTGAAAGTAACACAATGTGTAGTAATTCTACCTACGCTCTTCAGCACATTGAAAATAACATCCATTTTAAGAGCATGGAAAGCCTTTTTGTCTTGCACAGAAAAGTGTGAAGTTGAAGTTGGGCCTTGCAGTTTTATAATGTTGCTCCACATTCGTGTTCTGGCTGTTGCTTAGTAACTGACGATGCAGTGTTTCCTGACTGCATCCGTGGTGCTCTGATACGTGTGAGACAATCCACTTATTTCTGGACACCAATGGCTCTGGTGCTGTTTTAGCTACAAAAAATTGAAACACCTGAAACTGTGAGTTTGTTCAAACTGGTTTAGATATATTAATATAAGGAAAACATATTTGTTAGTTGTAACAAACAAGTTCCAACAACTACTAAGCAGTTCTGGGGCTGGATTTGACAAATACACATTAAATGCAGTGTATCCTTTTTTCTTTTTTTTCCCTCTCCACCAGCATTTCCAAGCAATCTGTGACAACTGATGTGCTAACTTAACATTCAAAGGCACAAATATCTGTTACAGTATTTCCACATGAAACACACTTAAATAATACAAATTACAGCTAAAGGAATTGATTCTGTTAAATAAGATAACAACACAAAGGCCAAATCTGAGCCAGGAAAAGCTGTGTAATGCCTGTTTTGTCCTTGTCTGAAAGATACTGGTGCACAATAAATTAAAACGTGAAATCTGTATCATGTCAGTTCATCCTTTGATCATGTTATCTGGGTAATAGGGAAAGTATGGGTGTAACTTAGCCTATATGCAATCTTTGGTTCTGTACGAAGTTTCCAAATTTGAGTACACGCTCTGTAAATATTTCCATGATAGCACCAGCTCCAAACCTTCTTCCAACACTTTTTAAACACATTACATTATATACATGTCATTTGTTTAATACATGCACTATGTTAACTAATGCTACTCACTAACTTTGACTTTTTATTGGCTTTCCTGCAGCTATAATCTATGGCATCTCTACCAACCACCATACAAAGCCCATGCCAAGATCCCGGGTCTCATTTTTCAATTACAATTTTAATAAAGCGTTTATAAACAAGTTTGTTGTTTTCTTAGTGTTAACAAGAAAACAACAAGACAAGACACTCGGAATTAATCTTTGCACATGTTTAAAGCTTAGAGTAAATACACTGCTCAATTAGTATTTAATTCTATTCATGATGAATATGTTGCCAAATATGGCATTTCTTTTAAATCTATATATATTATGAGTCTTTTCTTACACACACACCATGCAGTATATTCAACTGCATGGTGTCAATCAATTGATCAGTTAGCCAGTCAATTAAAAATGTTAAGGATTTATGATTTGTTTGTTTTTGTCTTTATGTATCAAAGCTTGGCTACAAAGCCATGGCCCTATAAGCAAACTTAAAATGAATACTGGGCTCTGTTTTCACAAGTTCAGATTTTATTTCCGGTAGCATCTATTACATAAAGGAAATGGGGAATCCCTCAGGAAACATTTTAGTGACACCAGGCATTTGAGGTCTGTGGTGACAGACGTGAAGGTGATGCCATGAAGGGATGAAAGTCAGCAGGTTTTCATCCAAATCAAACAGCTAATTTCACTTATTGAGCACATGTCAGCAAAAAGAAGCACCTGAAAAACTGCTGGCTCTTCCCTTAATGGCGAACTCACCCTAGCCGATTTTATATCTTCAAATCAAACAGAATTAATTTAAAAAAATATTAAATTTGCCAGCACTCTGATGAAATTCACTTTGCACTGCATTTTCTTTGGGGCAACATGCCACTGAAACCATGTAAAATTTATGGAGGTCTTGGGCCTTATCCATCTCATAAAGTAGCCTTGAAATTAAAAATGAGGAGTAAAAATGCCCCTGGTAATCAGGTGTGCCCTTTAATAAATGTCAACCTGCAAATTTTCACCCCAGCAGTTATTCATTAATGTGTTAATGTCCCCTCTGCGCCACCATACAATAGGTAAGCTAATGGCCAGGCGATACTTTTCAGTATTTTCTCCGCAACAAAAGGAAAGCAACCACATTTTGTGGATCAGAATGCAGAGTGATGCCAAAAAAAGGTTTTGAAGCTCAGGGGAAGAAAAAAAGGCTGGTGGTAAAAGACAGAAGAAGGGGCATTAAGTTTCTGGAAGGTAAAAGTGATAACACTTTCAATAAATTTACAAATATTTGATATTTTACCAATATACAATTTAAAAAAAAAAAGAAAAGAAATTTTTATATATATATATATATATATATATATATATATATATATATATATATATATATTTATATATATATGTATCCCCAAATGAACCTGAATCATAAAGGAACAATTATTTCAGATTATCTTCCCAAAAACTGCTTCATTTCATCAAACTTTGGTATATCTTCTGTTTTGACTATGTTATTGTACAGAACTTTGGTCAACAATTGTTGTTTTTAAAAGTGCTATATAAATGAATAAACTTGAAACTTGAACTTGAAAGCAAAAGTACTGCAAGAATCACCAAATTAGTAACGTTTCAGAGATGCTGTTTAATTGTGATGGTGTCACAGATGTGTAGGTATAACTTAAGAGACCTTTGAAGAACTTTAAACTAGGGATGCACCAATCCAGCTTTTTCCACTTCCAACATGATGAGGAATCCTTGGCTTTAAAGGTTTTCCAATACAGAGTACCAATCTGATATCAGAGTTAATGTCTCACTGTGAGAAAATGACTGAAAACCATCATTTTATGAGCAAAGTTTAATGAAACAACTTTCATTCTAACTTGACTAAAAATAACAAATACATCAGAGGACAAATTCACTATACTACATGCCAAAGATGAATACAACAGAATTAAAAAAATAAATAAATACATTAGCATTATCTGTTTAATTTATTTGTACTAGTCTGATTTCAGCCCACAGTGAAACCAACATCCCTCCAGTTCCTAGCTTACCTGATGTCTCTGACAGAACATAATCAAAGGAAAGTAAATAAGAGTACCTGAATAAAAGTAAATATGAGAGAGAAGCCAACGCATCGATCCTGTCCAAGCGCTTAGATGTTAGCTTCTTCCGTGCACAAAGAACTGCACAGGATCCAGATATCTGATTGGTGCATCCTGAATTTAAACATGACATCTGAAAAGCAGTTTAAAGACTTTTCTATACATTTCAGCAACACAACTGCATTCTTACATATTGGCCAGTTTTGATTTTAGTCACAATAAACTAAAGGCCTTTGACTCAAGTTCCTCAGACATGGATTAAGTTGTAGTCTTGGACTAAATGTGTTTTTTTTCAATGCTTCAGTGAATGTTTCTCTTATTTTAGGACTAAGCTTAATTCATTTGTGGGAAACTGACTGAATATTCTTAACACTAGCTTTGGGGTGAGGGGCACGAAGGGTTAACTGAGTGTGAGTGGGGTTAAGAAGAACAGATACCCCGAAGAAGTAAAATGATGTTAGAAGGTCTACTGGCTGAAAGATAAGCACAGCAAAGAAAAACTTTAATGCCAGCTCAGCCAAGATTAATTAAGGAAGAGATTTTAGGGTTTCTGCAGATAGTCGATGGTGTGATGAGTGAATATGCTTAAAATGGATAGGAACATTGCTGTGATCTTAGATGAATTACTATCTCCCAAAGGTAGAAACCAAACAACAAAGCAAACACAATTATCTCCACTGATTAAATATTATAGGAAACTTTGATAGGGTTTGCAAGATTAAAGAACCAAATCAAAAGATTGAGCACATGGATTTTGGTACAAATTTCTGCCCCAGTTCTTTCATTCCTAGCTTTGGGATGCAGCTAATACTGGATGCTAGGACGTTTTCTAATATTACAAGGTAAAATGAAGCATTAAAATAACATATGAACAGGTCAGAGTGGATATGTTCAGAGGATTTATGGTGGGGCAGGTTTGAATATAGATAGATATGAAGATGATGGGACAGACAGAAAGAAAAAAGGAAGGAAGGAAGAAGGGAGGGAGGAAAGGAAGGGCGTATTAAGAAGAGTAATCAGCAGCAAAATCTTAGTGTCTGACTGCTCATACTGTGTTATAACTTTAACAGACATGCTCAAAGCAAATTTATTACTACAGTGGCATTTTAGCTGAGTGTTTTACACAATGAGGGTGCCTTCAGACCAAAACAAAATAATGCTTTGAAAATTAAATGCTGTAGAAAGACACCTCCAAACTACACATGGGAAACAGTATGGGCTTTCAGACAGTTTAACACTCTACTCTTCACTTGTTAAAACTGGCTAAGATATGACTGGCCTCTTTCACTCGCTCCCTCTTTTTCTATTCATCATACATACTCAAGCAACAAAGGCTCATCCCACACAAACAGACCCACTACTCTTTTTTTCCCTCCCACACACACAAAGCATTAGTGTAAAACTTGAGCAAGAGTCAGTTAACATTAGTAAATGTGTCTTATATAACTGAGCCTATTGCAATAAGAAGCAGATGTAGTATCAATGTGGGCACTGAATTTATTTTCCCACCACGTCACTTTAGCTTCCGCATGAGTTTACTAGTTTTATTGTATCTATTTTTATTTTACTGAATTATTATGTGTGCTGATGTTTATTCATCAGCACACTAATGGCTCATAATTCGACAGACATCCCAGTCTAAAGCATCCTCATAATTTCTGCCTTGGAAAATTTAAAACAATCAAAGAATGATTTCTAGTTTTTTATATTAGTTAACTAAAATGCAGTTTGTTTGTTTTTTACTTCTGATCTAGTCTTGGTTTTTAAGTGTGTTTGTAGTCAACTGTAATAGCCTTAGGGCACTTACCACAAACATGCAAGTAGGGTGTGTTTTTGATGCTTTTGGGTGTGTTCTGCTATGAAACTTTAAGGCTATGGTCAAAAAATGTCAGTTTTGCTTAGTTTAATTTGTAACTGCACAAAGTGAGCAGGAGGCACCTGCATGACAGCCATAAAAAGAGCTGGTGAGATTCTGATCCTCTAAATATGAAGGAAAGGAGATCAGCATGTCCCTTGTCACCTCCTTTTAGCAGAGGATAAAGCATCCTGTATCAAAGGAAAAGAGATAATACCATGCCATAACTCATAGAAATGCACTATCCAGCAATCAATCATTATGATTGTGACACAAAGCTGATGGGGTAAACATTAATTAAGTTTGTTTTTCTTTTAATTTGATAACCGCCTGATATGTTATCAGTCGTGTTATACCAACAAGGAAAATGATCAAAAGCAGGCTGTTGTGATAAAATCTGCTTCAAGGAGCTCTATGCATTTTTGGCATGTTCAGATCTTTACAGTTAACTGAAGGGTTGCCATAATTCATTTTTGCATCATTTCTGTCCAATACTGCATTTTCAGCCTTAAGGTTCTTAAGGTTCAGGCTCAGAAAGCTTTAATAAAGGCAGGAGTTACACTGGGCCATCTCTCCAGCAGTGTCAACTCAATGAGACACTTCATTTCACTCTATAAGCCATTTATTCCTATGTATTGAACACTGAAAAGCAAAGGGGGGCAAAGTATCTCAGATAAGGTTCTTGTAATTCATCTTTGGGATATTATACTGTCACCACACCAGCCCACATCAAGTTATTAAGGACATTTTATAAGCGCAGCCAGATTCTCTTCTCTTTCCCTAACTCCTTATAAATTATCTTTCAGGAGAGGGCTAAAGCCCTTTTCTCAAGGTGATCAGGAAAATGCAGCCCTGAAATTTCTCTATACAGACCCCAATTTCCTCAAGAGGCTTTACTTTTTCCAAGCTGCCATTTAACCAGATGAATAAGAAAAAATTTTAATAACTTGCCTGGTTAAATAAATGCCAGGTAAAAACTGATATTATGTGAAAGTAAGGCTTTACCCTAGCTTAGTTTCAGCTGATACCTCTCTATCACAACACACAGCCGTTTTTGACATGAAGTCATGCTGATGGTTTCTAAATGATCTCTTGATAGCTTTATTTACCTTTGTGCTTTTTAGCTCATTTTAAATACATAATTTTGCATTACGTGCCTTTAAAGATTAACATTAACCCATGAAAAGCTTATTGGACAGATGTCAAACTGCATAGCATTTATGCAGTCAAGCAAAACGCCTGCTGGATACAGCTAGGGTGCAAATGAAACCATTCGTTTATCATTGGCCAGCATATATATAAAAAATTAGATTCTGGTTGTATCATAAATATTTGTTCGGTAATCAGTTGAAAATAACAATCGAACGTCCAATTAACCGACTTTACTCGTTACTTTCGCTTCATTTTTTTCCACAATTAGTGTACCCAGCTAAACTAGGTACCTGCCAGCTAGGTCTGAAAAAAGCATCGAGTTCGGTTATGTATATGTCAGTGACTGGGGTGAACTAACAGGCTGCCTGCAGCTGGAGTTTGGCGTTTTAGCTCTTGGTGGAGGGGAGACGACGCCCGACTCCTAGCTTCATTAGCAGTTAGCTTAACTAGCAGCCGCCGCCATTATAGCGGCCAACGACGGCAGCTAGCTTCCACCACTAACGCAGGCCCAGGGATTTAAGGGGCTTGTTTGGCTGTTTCGGTTCTTTTTGTTTATCGCGCTACCCATTACAATCAACTCCCATTTTGATTAATCTAACCGAAAATCAGTTCACGTCGTAAATCCAATGGCCAGCTTTACCGCAAGCTAACGTGACAGCTAGTGGCTAGCTGTGCCCACAACCTGCTTCCAGGGATACCAAAGGGATAACGTAAGTGTCGTTTGACGCACATAAACACGCAGTTAGTAAAATAATAATAATGCCTAATGTCTAAAATGAGACCTAAAAGTCTTCTAACTGCTCATGCCGTGAGAGTAGCAATCAGTGCTAGCTAATCCCATATATCTCCCTGATGTTAATTTGGGATGTCCGTAAAAAAAAAAAAAAATCTGTTCAAAGACTTGTATGCGATCAATGGGGGGCACAGCCTTGCGTGTGTGTGCGAACCTTTTTAATATTGTAAACACGGGTCAGCATCCCGATGCCTCTGTCGTTGAGGATGGTGAGTTTTTCTGCCAGTTTCTGCTGGCTGGGCTGGATCACTCCCCGAGACATCTTCTCCTCGCTGTTCGCCTAAATCTCCAAAGCAATCCAGTAAAAATTCCACAAATCTCCGCAGTCTTGTTCCGTAAAAATAGGGAAGAAATGGAAACTATGATTTATGTCGTTATTAGATTAAATTTCGCCCATGTTCAACCAGCTTCCTGTACTCCACCCCACCGTCTCCCTGCCTGTTTTTCTTTTTTTTTTTCGTTCCCTGGATGAGGAGTTGTCCTGGTTTTCACAACGAGGCTGGCTAATGCTGCGTTCACGGACCCTCGTTAATTTTTTTTATTTTAAAGACTTGGCGTATACTTCCAGATGATGCTAAGATTTGTTTTTATAACAGAAGTTGGCAAATTCATTTGGTACACCACCTAAACATTAACAGCTCATAACAAAGTAGTTTAAATAAGTAGAATAGGGGTCTGTCACATCAACCGTCTGTATGTTCCCTTCCCTGGGCTCTTCCTTTTCTTCTTATCTCATCTTCAACATCCTTTTTCCATTATATCCACTCCTCCTCCTCTGTACATATCAAAACCATCTCATCCTTGCCTTTCTAACTTTGTCTCCAAACCCTTCAACCAGAGCTGTCCCTGAGATGTACTCGTTTAAAAAAAAAAAAAAAAACCCTGATCATCCTGGTCACACCCAATGAAAATCTTAGCATCTTCAACTCTGCCACCTCCAGCTCAACCTCCTGTCCTTTCTGTTTGTGCCATCATCTCCTAATCATATGTCATAGCAGGTTTCACTATCACTACCTCTGCTCATTGCAGCTATTAAAAAATAAGTAGAAGAGTATATGACTCAATAAAACCAAATAGAATATGACAGGGCAAAAAAAAAAGATGAAAAATAGTTCAAAATCAAAATAAATGCAATAAACAGAGATAAAAAAAAATATTAAGTAGAAGTATAATTTTCTAGCAGTCAAACCGGGCCTTTAAAAATCTAACAAATTTACTATTTTATTTTGAGCATTTGAACGTATCACATTGTGACGTAGCTTCCGATTCAGCTGTCAGTCGCAGGAGCTTACACTTTCTCACAGATTGTTTCGTTTTTTACATTTTTTTTTTTATCTTGTATTAAAAAAAATAAAGCTGTGATAATGTGAGATTCTACTGCAGCGATGGCATAAAGCCCTTTTAAGGCAACAGCGGTCTAATCTTTTGCGGAAATTTGATTGAATCCAGTCCATTTAAACCAGGTTAGTACAAAAGTAGAGAAACTAACGTGAGATGTGTTTACATTCAGACATCAGCTTCACTTGTTACAGACATCAGTGCCTTCCCTTTTCAGTTTAACATTTCTTGTGGCATACACAGTTTTAGCCCAGTTTGTGTAACTATACATTACCAATACTTAACAAATCAATTACAAACTTAATGCTTCAGCTAAATATACGTTTGCATGTTTCAGGCCAGTCTTGTAAACTTTGTTGAGATGCATTCACTGGCTCAGGAGATCCACGGCTTCGCGAAAGACCGACTGAAGAAACAGTGCACGCGTGTTACCACAGTGACAGGCAAAAAGCTACTGGAGAGGAGGAGTGATGGAGGAGAGGGAGATGTGGAGCTGGTTGAAGAGCTGGAGGATGGAAATGGGTGTGGATTTGTAGAAGATAACAGCCTGGACCTCCAAGTTGGTGTCATCAGACCGTTCCTCCTGCTGGGTAATCTCTGTAGCACCATTCTTACAAATGCTTTTTTTTTTTCAGTGCTAATCCCACCACATGATTGCACTATTCTAGAACCAGATCGATATATCTGTTGGGCATTATTAGCAGTTGACCTATTGGCCTATCACACGTATATATCTGCATATAGATTGTCTGATATGCACCAATATTTTCACAAAACATAACACAGAAATCTCTCATCGCTGTCTGCTGATTACACATAGAGTGTCAGCAGTTTTGCATTTTGAATATTAAAGCATGCAAATCTATTTTAGGAACCCTCAACAGAAAACAGTGAATCTGGGAATATGCATAGGTTCAACAGAAATTGACACAGTATCTGGGTCTAACAAGTAAAGTAGCTGCAGAAGTGTTGTAAACCTGTATTCTTTCTCATGGCTGGCAGGGAGCAAAAATAATTCAAGTTGTCTAGAAGTCTATGGAAAAACAGCCCTACTTCTCACTTTTTCTGTAAGCTCAGTAAACCCTTTCCTGATGGGTTTGTGGTCTCAGTCGCTAGGTTCAAGACTCATTTAACAGAGCATGATGGTCATTTTCTAAATTGTCATCCAGTTTAGCGTAAAATTAGTGATAAAACAGGGTATGTGGCTATCTTGTGATTTGTAAGTCAATATCCTGTCAAGCATAATTGCTCAGTTTTCTCAGTCGAGTTCACCTATTGGCTTCTGAGTCTTAAAAGAGTCTAGTGTGGTGCGCCGGTTGAGATCGCTGGAACGAGCAGGCGACCATATGCCACAAGGCTGAGAGCGGATGACCCGGGTTCGAGTCCAACCTGCGGCCCTTTGCCGCATGTCTTCCCCTCTCTCTTCCCTCCACTTTCCTGTCAGTCTTCACTGGCCTTATCAAAGCTAAAGCCTTAAAAAAAAATCAAGACAGAATGGCCCTGGTCAGATGGTGGATTCAAACCAGGACCTCCTTGCTGTGAGGCTAACCTGTGTAAAACAACATAGTTAAAGTAAAACCATCACAGGCACATAGTAAGGGCCTTCAGCTGTGCAAACATTTATATATATATAAAGCGTTCTTTAGGGCAGCAGGGTTGAATAACTGAGTCACATGGCTCTGTTGTAACTGACAAGTTATTGTATGAGCATGCAGCGTCCCTCAGTTTTCACACGTGAACAAACAATTTGAGGAGAATAAGCGGCAGATATTTTCCACGCTTCTCCTTTGTCACGTCTAACACTTGGGAGAAAATAGTCCACTTCAGAAGCATATGCACTTCCGGAAGTACTCTGTGTACTTTACATGAAGAAGCTGCCTGGACAGAGCATGCAGGATGCATGTCACCCACTCTCTAATGGTACATTTACTGGAATATTAGCCATGCTTTTCACACAGTGATACAACTGGACAGCACACAGGCTTTTCATAGCAGGATTCAATATACAGTAAATGGTATAACATGGACAGAAATAAGAAGTTGATGTGATTTTGCCCCAAAACAAGATTTTAAAAAGCTTTTTTTTCCACATGGACATTTTACCTCTACCACCATCTTTACTGTTGCTGAACCTTCCCACAGATTTAAATTCAGGACTCTTATAATGTCTCTGTGCAGATCCAGTTACTGTGGCAATGACTTAACATTATTAATTCCTAATAATGGATAAATCATTGTTGTTAATTTTCAATTTGTCCAAAGATAAATGTTGACTTGCCCGTTTAGCTGGAGGATGCAGCTTTCCACATGTCAGCATGCATCCATCCTGAAGCGTCCTTGAGCTTGACATTGAATTCCCACCCTGCTCTGAGGTGCTGTTCACATCTGTAACTAACGCTGCGCTTTGACCTCACTGCGAGAAACAATCGACAAGAGAGTTTCTCAGCAGGGATCAATAAAATATTACATCTGTCTGGCTCAACAGAGGTGACTCTCTTCCATACAGTGATCCATGCGCTTCAAACATTAAAACCTGTTTTCATTCCCCAAAGTACCTCAGTGGTCACATCAACCTGTTATCACACTGTACAGGATGATAGGGCATGTGTTAATAGTTCTCTGATATTTTTGTAACTGCCTGTGAGAGTATCTCTGTTTTTTTCAGTGCTCTTGTGACAGATTTTCATTGTATATTCTGTAAATAGAGTACAGTACAGCTCTGTCAGGCTGGAGGCGAGTTCCTCTCTGAAGGCTTTGTGCAGACTCCCTCAGTTGTCTTTGGCGTGATGCTGTGATATTGCTAATATTTATAATGTGTTGCTGTCCTCTGGCTACAATCCACTGACAGTTATTATATTTTGACATACACATAGATATCATCCAATTTAAACCAGCTCCTATATCTCCACAATATCAGTTAAAAAAGTAAACAAAAAAAACGTTTTACGATTTTATATTTCTTGCAGAGTGTCAGGTCATGGAAATGACATTCGTTCCCCCTTTTAGATGCATTTAATATGAAGCTATAGCCAAAGAAGAGTCATAGTATAATAGTATGCCTGGCAACATTCTAAAATTAAAATAAACTACCTACTAAAAGTCTTTCAAAGCGTTCCAACCTACAGGTTTGCGTGTTTTTCATTTAACCCAAATGTCTCTAGTGCTGTAGAAAATTTGTTGAGCTTCTATTTTTAACGTGTAGAAAGGCTGACGGCATCCCCCTGTTTCCAGTCTAGCTATGTGCTGGTGCTTAATATTTTTGATCTTTCAAGCAAATGCAATGTTGAACTGATTTGTGTTTGACTGAAGGTAATAAAACATAGGAAGTATCTCATATGAGCAACTTTGGAATCTTGAAACAGAACATTTTACTTTAAATAATTCAATAAATGCAATTTATTATTCTCATTTTTATTAGTAGTAGTAGTATTACAGCCACTGGCTTAAACTAACATTATTTTCCTTTGACCGTGGCCTTGAACATCTTTTGAAAAGAAACGCCCAAAAAAGTCTTCAAGAAAAATCCCTCACACACATACTGTAGGAGAAATTCCCTTCCTTTATCTGGAGACCTAAAAATGACCGTGTGTAGTGCATCTGATCTATGGAGGCAAAGATTGTTCCTCTTCTAGTTTTTAAGAGACAGGATGGAGATAAAAATATAAAAAATAGCAATCGATTAAGACACATTTTTTCCAAATCTCATTATTTTTAGAATAAAAATGGACTCTTTTTTCCCATTATTGATTCAAATGCATCTACAACAACATCTGCAGGCAAGAGCAGAGAAGTTATTCTCTGTGTGTGTGCGGGGTATTCATTGGGATGATCTGCAGTTTTTTTCATGGTACATGTCGCTTTAAGGGAGGATTCTCCCTCACCAATTAATAACACAGATACAATTTTCACTGATAAGCAGAAACATGTAATAATGATATACAAAAATAACTAAATGGAAATGCAGTGAAAATCAATAGAAGAAGTATCGACTTAATTTAAAGGTTTTGGGGCAAAGTCTGCCAACTAAAAAATGAAAGTGGCAAAACCTCAGTCACACAGGCCTGGAGACCAGTTGGTGACGCTCTGGCACCCTCAGTTGCTACGGGGGAAATGTACAGTGATGAAAGAAAGTATT